TACTACTACTACTACTTCTACTACGACTACTATTAGTACTACGACGACGACGAATACTACTAGCACTACTACTGCGATTACTACTACTACTACTACTACTATTACTACTACTTATGACTACTACTACCACCTACTGCTACTACTACTGCTACTAGTACTACTTCTTCTTCTCCTACTACTACTACTTCTACGACTACTACTACTACTACTACTACTACTACTACTACTACTACTTCTACTACTACTACTACTACTACTACGACTGGCACTGATAACGATGAGTAGGAAGACGACGACGACGACACATAGTAGCTTGACAATGAAAACGACGACGATTACGCATAACTAGAATAATGCTAAGAATAACGGATTGTTATGCTACTGGTACTACTAACATTAATACGAATAGCATTACGCATGAGAATCGGAACAGCTTAACAACAATTACAAGACGAATGCTACTACTAATGATACTGCTGAAAACGGTAATGATAATCATAAGAATGAACCTGATGATAATGTTACTGGTAATACCAATAAAAAAATCGAATAACACTAATAATCACACCAACACGAAAGACACTACTGATACGGAATCGAATAAAAGTACGAATGATAATGAGAATACTTGTACATACTTGTAATGGTGATGGTGTTGCCAATCGTACGAATAAGATGGTACTACGAATCATACTAAGAGGAAGTCGACGGCGAAGGAGACGACAAAGGAGACAGGTGGCAGCGCAGCATCAAAACAATACGACGTCGAAGAAAAATACGCATACGAACAAACATAACGATAACAACAATAAGAATGCGATTATGGATAAGACGAAGCAGAACATACGAAGAGTCAGAACGATACGACTAATTAGAAGAAGGATCGGAATCCGAAAACAAGAAGCATAATCAGACACAACAAACAACAGCTCCGAATACTACAGGTGGCATCACCGCACGAACATTACCCGAGACGTGCCCAACCCCTTCTCCGCGCGAGGCGCGTCTTTGTCTGAACGCTCCATACGACAGAACACATCGCCAGATATGCACGATCTGCGCTGCCCTCACCTCCACCGTGCCTCCCACGAGCCTACGACAATGGCGACAGTTCGCAATGCGCAGCCATCCTTGGAACAACGACGTCTCGGCTGAACCGGCGTGGTCCCCGACACCGCTAGACCTCCCAGGAGCCAGCGAACGTGGCAACAATTGCGCAATTCGCCGCATTCCAAGAAGCAGCGAGGTCACAAATGGGTGCGCGTGGCCCCCGACTCCGCTGGACCTGCTAGTTGCCCACGAAAGTGGCGACAGTTGCACAGTTCGCAGCCCTCCACAGAGCAGCGAGGTCTCAAATGGGTGCGCGTGGCCCCCGATTCCGCTGGACCTCCCAGGAGCCCACGAAAGTGGCGTCAGTTGCACAGTTCGCAGCCACCCAAGGGGCAGCGATGTCTCGTATGGGTGCGCGTGGCCCCCGATCCCGCTGGACTTCCCAGGAGCCGAGGAAAGTGGCGACGGCGGCGCAGTTCGCAGCCACCCGAGGAGCTGCGAGGTCTCAAATGGTCCGTTTACTCCTCGACTCCGCCGTGCCTCCCACGAGCCGACGAAGGTGGAAACGGATCTGCAGCTCGCAGCCTCCAAGGGAACTGCGAAGTATAGAATGGGTCAGTTTCGCCCCGACTCCACCGTGACGGTTGCGCAGCCCGCAGCCGCGGGGCCCAGGGAGCTGCGAAGTTTAGGATGTCTCAAATGGGTTCGTTTACTCCTCCGCTCCGCAGTGCCCCCCAAGGGCCCACATAAGTGGCGACGGTTGCGCAGCTCGCAGCCACCCAAGGAAATGCGAGGTCTCAATTGTTATGTTAACTCCCCAACCCCGCCGTGCCCCCCCAGAAGCCCACAAACGTGGCGACAGCCGCACAGTTCGCAGCCACCCAAGGAACTGCGCGGTCTGAAATGGTCCGTTTACTCCCCGACTCCGCCGTGCCTCCAACGGGCCCACGAAAGTGGCGACAGCCGCACAGCTCGCAGCCCCCCAAGGAACTGCGAGGTCTCAAATGGTCCGCCTTCTCCCCAACTCCACCGTGCCTCCAAGGAGCCCACGAAAGTGGCGACGGCTGCGCCGCTCGCAGCTCCCCAGGGGGCTGCGAGGTATCGAGTGGGCCCGTTTACTCCCCTACTCCGCCGTGCCTCCAAGGAGCCCGCGAGAGTGGCGACGGTTGCGCAGCTCGCAGCCACCTAGGGAACTGCGAGGTCTCAGATGTGTCCGTTTACTCCCCGACCCCGCCGCGCCCCCCAAGAGCCCACGAGAGCGGCGACAATCGCACATTTCGCAACCACCCAGAGATCTGCGAGATCTGGAATGGCCCGTTTACTCCCCGACTCCGCCATGCCTCCCACGAGCCCACGAAAGTGGCGACATTTGCACAGTTCGCAGCCCCCGAGGGCACTGCGAGGTCTGAAATGGTCCATTTACTCCCCGACTCCACCGTGCCTCCCAGGAGCCCACGAAAGGCAACCACCCAGGGAGCAGTGCAGTGCAGGAAGAGGCAGGAAGAGGGGGGAGGAGGAGGGGGGAGGGAGGAGGAGGAAGGAGGAGGAGGAGAAGGAGGAGGAGGAGGAGGAGGAAGAGGAGGACCTGCCTCGCCGCCTTGCCCTGTTCCCGGCCCCCTCCCCCTATCTCCGCCTTCCCTCGCATCCCTCCCTCCCCCTATCTCCCGCCCGCGCTCTCCCTCCATTCCTCCCTCTTCCCCGTTCCACCCGCCCTGCCGCATCAGGGCCAAGGAGGCCAGGCAAGGCGCGACCTACGCGCCCCAGCCGAGGCCAGCCTCCTTTTCCTCCTCCTCTTCCTCCTCCTTTTCCTCCTCGTTTTCCTCCTCCTCTTCCTCCTTCTCCTCCTCTTCCTCCGCGTTGTCCTCCTCCGCTTTTGATTATCCAGTGCCCATGCAGGTCTCGTATAAGAAACTGTATGATGGGGCTCTTCTCAAAGCATGGTTAGCAGTTTTGACTCCCATGTGTATAAAGTGAAGGAGCATGTTGCTGATGATGGCACTTTGAGTGCCGACGAGCTGTTCCTCCAGCAGCATAATCATCATTATCATATCCATCTTCATCATCAGCTTCAACTTCTTTTTGTTATCATAATCATATCCAGCAGCACCATCATCAGCCGCACCATATGCGTTGTCAAACTGACCATCCTGATCATCGTCATCATCATCACCATCATCAGCATCATCATCATCATCATCAGCAGCAATATCATCATCATCATCATCATCATCATCATCATCATCAACATCGTCGTCGTCGTGGTCGTCGTCGTCATTGTTAAAACCGTCACGAATACCATCATCATCATCATCATCATCATCTCCATCGTCACCGTCGTCATCATCCTCATATTCAGCAGCATCATGATCATCATCGTCGTCATCGTCATCGTCATCATCATCAACAACATCACCATCTCCATCACCATCATCATACGGGTCTGCGTTTTCATCGTCATTAACATCAGCATCAGCATTATCGCCACCATCCTCCGAATCATCAACAACAACCGCATCATCATTATCATCATCATCATCATCATCATCATCATCATCAGTCGTGATCACACCATGATCATCATCGTAACCATCATGATTACCAGCATCATCATTATCATCACCAATGCCAACATCATCAGTATCACCACACTTATCACATGTATTACCAACAGCCGCAGCACCATCATCAATCATCATCAGCAGCATCAACATCATCGTCATCATCATTCGCATCAATATCAACATCATCACCAACATCATCATCATCATCATCATCATCATCATCATCGTCGTCATCATCGCCATCATCGTCATCATCAGCTGCATCATCATCATCAGCATCATCATCATAAGAAGCAGCATCAGCCTTGCCATCATCGTCAGCATCATCCTAATCATCACCACCACCATTATGATCGTCATTACTACCATCACCATCACCGTCACCATCACCGTCCTCATCGTTACCACCATCACCACCACCACCATCATCCTCATCTTCATCCTCATCCGCATCCTCATCCTCACCATCATAATCATCCTCCTCATCCTCATCATCTTCATTACCCTCATCAACCTCATCCTCATTGTCATCATTATCCTCCTCATCATCATCATGGTGATGAACCGTTGCGGCCCGCCCGTGATTTTAACGCGTCGGGAGGCGAGAACTGCTACAATAGATAGCTCGCTGTCTCAGTTTATTACGTGCATGCTCTCGGCTCGCAGCCGCCGAGGCCCTTGGCCGTGGCGGGGGACGGCGGGGGGGGGCGTGAGAAACTTGAAAGGTTTCGGGGCGCAAACGGTTGCGGAGCGAACGAAAGGCACGCACGAGGCACGCGTTTTGCGCGTGGGAGCCCCTGGGCTTCCAAAAACCGGGCCGCAGAGCCCACCCGTTTCGGGGGGGGCACGGGCGCCCAGGGCCCCACAAAACAACAGCAGACACCTACTCGTTCCTAGAGGCTCCAAGGCTCCATTCGGGAAAACTCACGATCCCCTCCCCCCAAATGCACATTCCCACGTCAGTACTCAGTCTTAAACCCATTAACCCAGGAGGGTGGTGACCCGCTGCAGCCCACCTAGGATTTCAAACAGATCAAAAGGCGAGAAGTGCTACAATATATAGTTGGCTATCTCAGCTTAGTATGTGCATGCTATCGGCTTGCAGCCGCCGAGACTCTTCCCGCCCCCGCTCGCGAGCCTACTGGGGGAAATGCAAGTTGACTCTGCGTCCTGCGCTTCCAAAATGAAAACCGTGCAGGACCCAACAGAAAACATTTCTGGCACTCAAGACAGCCGGAGCAGACTCCCAAGCCCACCCTCGCTGCGCGCCCTCAAAAAACTCCAGTGACTCGTCACTGGCCAAACACGATTACTTGTAAAACACCTTGACTGTGAGATATGGCACGCGCACACATCGGCGGCCGAGGTTCACCCAGGCCCCATGGGAGCCTCGCGGCCGCCAGCTCCTTGTCTGTCATGGATGCGCACTTGATCGCCGGCAGAAGGAGACGGCTCCACGAGTCGTTCAGCTGCTGCAGGATGGCCTCTCGCTCTGCCCGCGCGCCGAGGTCGAGGGCGCCCCGCGCTAGGCTTGCCCATCTGACCTCGAAGGACGCCCGGCGGTCAATCGCGCGGAGGCCGATGAACCCTGGTGCGATATTGGCCTGGCCAGCGTAGCTCCTGCCAGGACTCCTGCGCGTGCGGGATCGAAAACGACGCGCCCTCCAGGGCGCGGTCGGCTGCGTCCGCCCCAGGGGGCGGCGTGGCAACGTCGAGGAAGTCCGTCCGGATTCACTTGAGCAGGTCGGGGTCGTCCGCCATGCGCTCTTCATGGCGCCGATGTACCGCAAGGTTGATAAGGGCGATTCCTCGCCAGGCCTCGTCGAGCAGGCTCGCGGACTGCTTCGAAGACCGCAGCGCGATGTCCGACGCGCCTTGGGCCGCGGCCACCACCGCCGCCAGCCCTTCGTCAGCGACGTGGCCCGCGGAGACCGACATCTCCGCCGCCGCGCCCGGGATGGCGCCGAGGTGTCCGATCGGCGTCGCCAGGTAGAGCCAGGCCAGGAACCCGCCCACGTGACCCCTCGGCCGGGGGCCCTCCAGGCCCGGCGGGCCGCGGCCGCGCCCGCGCGCAGCAGCGCGCAGCAGCGCCCAGCCGCTCCTGCCGGCTGCAGTCGCCCTGGCCGCACGCGGTGGCTGCTGAGCCACGGCGGCCAGCGGGGCCAGCCCCCCAGCCGCCCGGGGTGGCGGGGGCCCCGCTGCCGCCGCCGCTGCCGCTGCCGCCGGCCGCGGCGGCTGCGGGTCGAAGAGGTCGTCCACCGCTGCCCCCAGGCCGATCGCCTGGGGCGGCCGCTGCGGCGCCGCTGGCGAGGCCACTCGTCGCCCACGTGCAAGTGGCAGCGAGCGCTGGCCGTCCCGCGGCGGATGGGACGCGCCGGCCGCCGCCTTCCTGTAGCCTGCTGGCGGCATGCTGGCCGTCCTCGGTCTCGCCGAAGATGTCCTGCGGGAGGTAGAGGGCCAGCTGCTGCCCCGCTTCTCTGACCAGACGTTTGATTCCTTGCTGCTCCGCCTGGTCTAGGACTCTTGAGGCGGTGAAAACGTCCACGTAGATGCTGAGACTGGACTCCGTGAGCCAGCGCCCCTGCTCCTTGATCGCCTGGAATGGGACGCCACGTGCCGCGGAATCGCTGGCGAACCCTGCGCGCGCCGAGCGCGGCGCCAAGTGGATGTCTAGGCGCAAGCTCTCCTCACCTTTCTTGCTTGCGCCTACAGTCGACGAGCGAGCACGGGAAGAGGAGGAGAGCCTCTGGAGGTGCCCCCCGCATGACCCTGCGCAAGAGGTCATCGAGGATTCCGTCTCATTCAAAGAATATTGCGCGCTGCATTACTTTAGCGTTTGCCCCCGCCTTCGCCCCCAAGTTTATGACCCAATTCGGCTGAAGATCTGGACCCCCTCTCGATGATGGTAGTGATGCATCTTTGCCCTGAGCTGAAGCATCTCCGACGGGCGCAACCCTCGGCCCACCTGGAGCAGCAGTCCGACTGCCAGGCGCGGCACTCCCAGGCAGGCAACGCGCGTCGCCGCCAGGTTCGCCAGCGCCCGCCCCAGGGGCGGCGCATGCTTTACTGCTGCTGCGACCCTCAGTGCATCGATAGTTACACGGGCCCAGGCCAGCTTCCTCCTCAAACGTGGGAAGACGAACACCGCTGCGGCCGCTGCGCACTCGAAGTTGCACTCGGTGAACTTTTCGTCGTTATTGTATTCGACGGGCCCGTCGGGAGCAAAACCGCTTCCGTCCAGACAATTCGCGAACTTCATCGCCGCTGCCCTGTAGGTGACCAGGGTGCGCGGCTTGGCCTTCTCCAGAGATGTATTATCAAGCCTGCGAGGCCCCGACATGGGCCAGGTCGCGTAGGTCAGTGATGTTCAGGCACCTCGATACCTGGTTAGCAGGTTGCCTGATGGTCTCCACCCATGGAATCAGAACTTGCGTGCGCGATGCCAGCGATGCCGCTGTCTTCTGTCGTAGCAAATGATTGAGGTGATGAGACGGTGATCTGCCTTTGTTCACCGCTCCCGACGCCCCCTGGTTGTCTTTCCAGCGCAGGCAGCACTGTGCGATGTAGCTCTGGCACGGCCGCCGCCGCTCTGCTGATCTTCACCAAGGCAAGGGCGATGTGGTCGGCGGCCAGCCAACGCTCTCGCCCAACCACCGCCCACTCGACATCGGGCTTGAGGACTCGGTCTGGCAAAAGACTGAGGACTTCGTCCTGCGGATCACCTGTTCTGGCCGCCGTAGCCCCGAGGGCTCGCCGTCCAACCGCGCCGCCGTGCACCCCAGCCCCCCCCCCGCGTCGATGAAGTCCCTGGCGATATCCTTGCTCGCGTCGGCCGCCAGAATCCCCCTGCCGCCGTGGCCCAGGTCGCCGGCGCCCATCGCGTCCGCTGCGAAGTACACCGGGGCGGGCTTGGCCCCCGGGTCGGCGCGCATCAGGGGCGCCACCTTCGCCGTGGCCCTCAGCTCCCTGCGCGCAGACATCCAGGGCCCCACTCTCTGCTGAGGGTAGCGCCGCCCCAGCGGCCCGAACACGGCGCTGGGGATGCACGGCGCTTCTCTCCTCAGGAGGGCCCCCCAGATCCACGCGCCAAGCAGCGACCTGAGGTCGTCTGCGAATGCATTCCTCCCCGCCGCCATCGCCCCCAGCAGCGTCGCCAGCTCTCGTGCTCGGGCGGGCAGGCGGAGCTGGGCGGGGGCCCTCTGCGGGATGTAGCCCGGCACCGTCTGCGTGTCCACGGCCTCGACGCGATCTGCCGCCACGAACCCCGCCTCCGCGCGCGCGCCCCCCAGCGCGCGCATGGCGGTCGCGGCCATGCTGGCCCCCGTCGGCCCCCTTGCCATTGCAGCCCCGTCGTCGACGCGTTGGTAGAGGGCCATCTGCGGGCCGTGCAGCTCCGGGCCACAGTCTCTGAGCACGTCCTCGTTTCCCAGCGCCACCGCGGGTCTTGCGGCACTGCGCCCGCCCCGCGCCGCCACTGCGCTGCCCGCCTCGGGCTGTCTTCGCCGCCCCGCGCCCCCCGCGCCGCCCGCGCTGAAGTGGCCGAGCGACGCCGGCGCCGGGGCGCCCAGCTTCTCGCGCATCTCCGTCGGGCACGAGGCCAGGGGGCCGGCGCGGAAGGAGCAGTCCTCCAGCTTGCCCTCGGCGGACACTTGGGCACGAGCTCTGTCGCAGCGCATTCCGTTCATCTGGTCGAATCCGAGCGCCGTTCCGCTGAGGCAAGTGGGCTTCCTCGTCCGTCCGCCCAGCGTGCACTGGTCCAGGCGCGCCCCAGTAGCCCCGCGTCGCCGCCCGAACTCCCGCACCTCCGTCGCGTTCCACATCGATGGGCAGGGCGCGCGCCCTGGGCCCCCAGGGTGCTCCGCGCGGAAGACGCCGCCGCATCGGCCGCGCGCCTCGCGCGTCGGGGCGTGCCCGGCGGGCCCCGCGGGCGGAGCCTCGAGCGCGCCGGAGGTGGGCCCGGTCGTCGCCGGCCGTGGCGGGCCCGCGACTGGGCGGCGCAGGGGGCGCCGCCGAGCACTGCGTCGACCCGGCCCCCCTCGCGCGGCTCCATCTGCGACGAGACGGCGGCGGCGCCGGCAAGGTCACGGCGGGGGTCGTCCGCCACGTCCGCCGACAGGAAGATGACCCGCGAGCCCCGCCCCTCGGCCCCCCATCAACACCACTGCCTCCGCGTCGTCCTCCCGCTGGCGTCCCGCAAACAGGCGCGTCGCCGCCAGCGCGCGCTCTCTTCGCCCCCATCGCCGTCGCGATCCACTCCTCCACTCCGAAGCCGGGCTCCCGCGATGGAACGGCCCTGCACTTCGCCTGCTGGGTCGCCCAGTCGCCGTCGTATATCGGAGCGCCTGCTCCGCCGCCTCGGGCCCCTCGGGCGGGCGGGCCTCCTCCAGCCCCTGGCCCTCGGGCGGCAAGGTGGCCTCTCCGCTCGAGCCCTTCCCGAGCGCCGCGAGCCGCGCCCCCGCGCCCAGCAGCGCCCTGCCGATCACCGCCGCGTTGAACGCCATGAGCAGGCGCGCCGAGCGCGAGCCGCCCATAGCCAGGTGGCGGTAGCAAGGGGCCACCCAGCCTGCGGGGCCCAACTGGTCCTGAAGCCGTCTGCTTAGCCTCTCCCGGACCCAGCGCTCTCGGACCCACCTCGCCATCCAAGCTGGGGCCCGCAGCCGCGCGAAGGCATCGTCCTCGTCAAAGGCCGCCACTCCCACGCGTCCGTCGGCGCGCGCATCGAGGCCAACGCTGCCCCGCCGCGCATCCCGTGGTCGCCTCTGACGCGGGGGTTGGACCAGACGTAGTTACTCGCGCAACACGGGGATCTGATGCTGCTTCGCAATGTCCCCCCTCGGCTCGACGCTGAAGCCGCAGTGGGCCGGCGCGTCCTCGGCCGCCTCGAAGGTCCACGCGTCCTTCGGGAGGTCGTCGCGTAGGTACCTCGCGCAGGCGTCGGTCGACACGCCCACGAACGCGAAGCGTGCCTCCCGCCCCATCGAAGATCGCGGCTGACTTCCCGCTGTAGCACGCTGTAGTCCAGCACGTTATCCCCCCCCCTCTGTAGAAGGCCCGCTCGCCCTCTGGCAGCGCCTCCAGCAGAGCAACCACGCGTTCGTCCTGAGGCTCTGCGATGGCCAGCGCGCCCATAGCAACATGCTTGCTGCGCAGGCGCCCTGCGCTCCTCGTCTCGAGTCGAGCGCCGTCCGTTGACCGCCTGTCGGAGCAAGCCCACGGCAGTCTGGCAGTCGCGCTCGCGCCTCGCCGCGTCCTGCAACGCGCGCTGCTGCGCGAGCTTCCCGGCCCATCTCCCGCGCGCCACCCGTCTCTCGTCGGCCCGATGGTCTCGCGCCCAAGGAACCGCAGCCCATCCCGTTCATGAGCTCAATGGGCCCGCGGGCCCGACGCCGCGCGCGCAGGAGTCGGGCCACCCTCGCGCGCGGCCCGCCCAACGAGGGCTGATGCTGAAGAGGTCGATCTGGCAGAGGCACGGGGAAGGTCGCGGCACCGGCCCCCGCCCACTGCAGGGCCCGCGCGTGCAAGCCAGGCTGCCCAGACGTTGGCATCACTGGCTGCCGCCGCCGCTGCGGGGCCCCGCCTCGGGCCGAGGGCGGGCTGCAAGTCCCTCGGCCCGTCAGCCCCCGTCAAGCCTGGGGCCCGCCGCGGCCCGAGGGCCCGCCCCCTCGGCCGCGGCCCCGCCCCCCGCCGTCGCCCCCTCTGCCTCTGCCGCCAGCTGCCTGGCCAGCGCTGCCGCCACCGCTGAAACCTCCGCCTGGACCGCCTCCGCGACCTTCCTGCTTGCCCGAGGCGGCCGCGCGCTCGCCCCGCTGTCGCTCGGCTTCGCTGCGCGCCGCGGCCTCTGTCGCGAGCCGCGTCGGCGCCAGGTCCGCTGGCGAATCCGGCGGTCGCGCGGCCAGCATGGCCGCCGCGCCCGCCTTGTCCTTCGTCCGCATCTCGTAGAAGTAGCTGGCCAGCCGCCGACGGCGCAGCTCCAGCGCGTCGTCCGACGCCAAGCGCGTGAGCACCTCGGTCCGCGAGCGGCAGGCCCCTGGCAGGTAGTCAACATTCGTCGCCGCTGTCCACAGGTCGGTCAATGCTGCGGTGGGCCTCTGTCCGTGCACCTTCTGCGACAGTTAGTCACGGGCATCGGTCGCCCCCGCTCCTCGCGCGCTTCAGGTCGGGGGGCAATCTCAGGTTCCACCTCGACTCCTCTCGCTGAGCTGCGGTGGGCGGCGCCCACGACCACTGCGGTCCCCCGGCCAGTCCGTTGCCGCGGCTGGGCGTCGGACAGGCCAGCAGACTCTCCAACTCCTGTGGCAGCGAGGGCCCCAGCGGGCCCTTGGCGACAGCCCCCACGTAGCCGCGGCACTGCAGCAGGCGTCGTGGGTCAGGGGCGAGAGCGGTCCACCGCGTGGATTCTCTCCTAGAAGTGCCAGACCCAGTACACAGTGCACGTCGGCGGTCGACCTCGACTGCAGCTCTGTCAGCGCGGCTCGCACCATGTTGGCCTGCATCCCCATCTTCACGGCGCGCCTGGGCGCGAAGGGCGCGCGGGGGCCAACGGCCCCGCCGCCACTCCCAACGGGGCCAGGTGCGGTAACCCCGCCCACCTCTGGCGGGGCCATCTGTGCAGCGACCGTCAGACTGAAAAGGCCTTGCACCGTCTGGTCCGACCCGAACGCCCGCACCGCCGCGAGGTCCTGCGCTCCAGGCTTCTCGGTTGCCGTCCACGGACCTGCGGCCTCCGGAGCTGGGCTCCATGGAAGGGCGGGCGGCGCCGCAGGTGGGGACGCCCCCATGCCCCATCTGGCTTGGCCCCGAGGCGGAGGCCGCGGCAACGGTCGTAGCCCCTGAGTCTTCGCCGTATGTGCCATCCTCGGTGAAGTACGACTCCAGGCCATCGCCGCCGCTGTCACAGGCTCCTGCATAGGCTCGTCGCTGTCGCCACTTGGACCACCGCACAGCACAGCGTCGGGGCAGTGTCCGTGCCAACACCACGCAGCCCGCTAGGAAGGAGAGGCCTCCCCACACGTGGGTCCGTCCAGCATCCGCCAGAGCCGCGGTCGCTGCGCCGGCAGCCACAGTCCGCAGTGCAGCATCCAGTCGAATGCGTCCTCATCCTAATCCTCGCCGGTGGCGCGGGCCCAAATCTCGTCGGCCAGCTTCGGCCAGCCGCTCTCGTCGCCCGCCACGCGTCTCACTCTGGCCTCAACCTGATTGTCCTTGACCCCCGCCTCCACGAAGGACCACAACACCTGGTGCATGTCCGTCACCGGCAGCGCGGGGTTCCTCATCGCCAGTCTCGTGGCCACGGGCTCCAGGGCGGCGAACAGCTTCTCGCACTCGGCTGCCTTCGACTTGGGGGCCCTCCCTGCGTTGATGCTCGCACGCGGTCGGGCTACCAGCTCGGCCACGTCCTCGTCCGTCACGTCAGCCCCTGCTCCTCGCAGAACCTCCAGTCCGCAGCGCCGAGCTTCCGCCGCGATCGCCACCATCTCAGCGGCCCCAGGCGAGGTCCGCACCGTCAACTGTCGTCTGCAGCTCCTGGGCTACAGATGACCGCACCTCTTTGATCCACGGGTGGAGTCCGCAGCTCCCCTCAGGGCTCCATGGCGTGGGCCCTGTTGGCGGGGTGGGCCTCCGCCCAGCTCCTGCGAGAACCTTGACATGTTCAGGAGCACAGACGGTTGCGGAGCGAACGAGAGGCACACACGAGGCACCCGCGGCTCTAAAAACCAGGCCGCAGAGCCCACCCGTTTCGGGGGCCGGGGGGCACAGGCGCCCAGGGCCCTACAAGACAGCAGCAGACACCTACTCGTTCATAGGGGCTCCTAGGCTCCTAGGCTCCATTCGGGAAAACTCACGGTCCCCCCCCCCCAATTGGACACTTCCACCACAGCAATAATCCCACCAGCCCTCTGGGCGTCGTTGGTTTAGAGCGTTTCCTCTTCCACCCCTCCTTCTTCCCCTTCGGGGAGGGGCTTACCCCTCCCCCTCCCCCCTCCCCATGGACCTGGACAGAGGGTCTGGCGAGTCGTCGGAGCGTCCAAAACGGCCTTGGCGAGGAAGCCAAAATCATTGTTCTTACTGGTTTTGGCCCCATTTTGGCCTCCTGAGGGGGGGGGGGCCTAATTAGTACCCCCCCTCCTGTGATCGATCTCACCCAAGATGGCCCAAAGATGGCCCCCAAGGCTCCCAAGGGTGCCCCCAGAGGGCCCCAAGAGGTGGCCAGGAAGCACCAAGAGGCCCCCAGGAGGCCCCCAGGATGCCCCCAAGAGGCTCCCAAGAAACCTCCAAGAGACCTCCAAGAGGCCCCAAGAGGCCCCCCAGAGGCACCCAAGACGCTCCAAGAGGCCTCGGCGACAATGCCAAAATCGCTGATGTTACTAAGGTTTTGGCCACATGTTGGCCTCCTGGGGGGGGGAGGGGGGGCACTGTTTCAGATGACTCCAAGAGCGCCCGGGAGAGCCAAAGCTGATCTCCAAGATGATATCCTAAGATGCCTCAAGATGGCGCCCACGATGCAAGACCGCTCCAAGACGGCTCCAAGTGGCCAAAGAGCTCCCCCAGGAGGCCCCGAAGAGGCCAACATCCTTCCAAAACCTTTGGAAACTCAATGGTTTTGGTTTTCTCGCCGAAGCCTCAAGATGGCTCCAAGATGGCCCGAGAGGGCTCCAAGAGCGCTCCCAAGGCTCCCAAGAGCGCTTCAAGAGGGCCCCAAGAGGCGTCCAGGAGGCCCCAACAGGCGCCGAAGAGGCCTCCAAGAGGCTCCCAAGGGACCCCCAAGAGGCCCCCAGAAGCTCACCGAGGCACCCAAGCCGCTCTAAGAGGCGTCCGAGACCGCCCCCATGCCCCCAAGACGCTCCAAGAAGCCTCCACTGGGGGACCCTTCCTCTGTGTGCTGCCCGATTCCCTGATCGAGGCAATTCCTCTGGGCATCGTTTCTGGATGGGCT